GGCTGGGCATGGTGGCATACACCTTTAGCCCAGCACTCAGTAGACAGAGGTAGGTGGACCTCTGTGAGTTTGAGGTTGGCCTACTCTACATAGTGAGCTCCAGGCCAGCCATGGCTACAGAGTGAGACCCTGACTAAAACAGTCATTGTTGTTTCCTTCGAAGTTGTTACTGTGGGTCTACGTTCACCTACCAACAGCATTCTATCTTAAAGGTAACTAACTGTATTTTATTTCGTGCAGCCCCCATTGAGAAGTGGTTTTGAAAATGGTCAGCAACGATGCATTTGGTTCTAGGAATAGTCACAAGCTAGCTGGACTATGTCTGGCAGGCCGGTGGTCAAGACAGTAACACTGGCTTTCAGGATCCACAGCGTGTGGCTCAGCACAGACAGGGAGGCTCCTCACTCCGTGGCCTTATGGAGAGGGAGCGACACAGATGACAGATGTCAGTGTTCAAAGGGTGCTGAGAAGCTGGGGTGAGGAAAATGCCCCCCGAAAGCTGGATGCTGGTTCTGGCTGCAGATCTATCACAAATCATTGACAGTATACTTAAAATGGGTTGAATTTCATGCCATATAAATTGCCACTCAGTAATTTCTTAAAAACAAACAAAACCTGAACCCGGATACTATGTGAGTCCAGAGATTTTTAGTTCTAAATTAAAACTGTGATCTTTACTATCTTTATAGAGAGAACACAGTAAAAGCAAAGCAGGGGTGGGGGGCGAGGGGGGGGGAGAGGGGTGGGAGCGGGGCTAAGTAGTAGTTCCTGCTAAAGTGAGTCTTGCTTAGGTCCCGGGGGTCTGGAGCCTGACTTTGCTGGGAAGCTACTAAAGGTCTTCAAGTGGTCCAGCGGCACAGGCCGATGTCAAGTTTAGAATAAGACACAAGTCAGAAAGATGGCAAAGCGACAGGAGACGAGCTAAACACTGAAGGAGACTGTGGTAGTCTCGGGTAGAAATGACGATATTTAGAACCATGGTGGTGGCCACAGGATAAAGGCTGGCACAGGGTCATGTGCCCTTAGGTGAGCCTGGCAGAGTTTGACAGCCAAAGCTTTGTGGGTGAGAGATGAGGAGTCAGGGAAGGGTTTGATCGGAGGAGTGGTGGTGGGAGAGGGACCTACCCGTGATGCCTATCTGTGGACATGTTGGATTAGTGATACCCGAGTGCCATCCAGGTGAAAATAACCAATACGCAGGTGCACCCATGATTCTGGCGTTCTGGGAGACTCTGGTTATGAGCCATTTGTATGAAGTAGTGGTTAAAAACAGGAAGAGCCAACAAGTGATGAGGGCCTTGTATATCAGAAGCGCGCGCGCGCGTGTGTGTGTGTGTGTGTGTGTGTGTGTGTGTGTGTGTGTGTGTGTGTGTGTGGTGGAGGCTGAGGATGGGACCCTGGGGCATCAGCAATGAAGGGCAGAGAGAAGAGGAGGAAGTAGGAAAGAAAAATGGCGATTAATGTGAAGGGGGCAGTATGTCAGGAGACCATGACAGGAGAGAGGGGAGGGCAGGAGAGAGGGGAGGGCAGGAGAAGTAGTCGCCAGGAAACAAAGCCTGGGAGGTGTCACTCACAGCATTGGGCTGCTGACCTCAGCAGTGGTTAAGGAGAAGGAAGTGTGGATTTAAAAACAAACACATGCACGGAGAAGGAAGTGGAGACAGAAATGAGCTGACTGGCTGGAGATGTCTGAGACAGACAGGAGGAAGCCAGGGAGGCTGCTGGAGGGGGAAGGCTTCGTGCCTTGGTTCTTTGGATGGGAACTTCAGTGTACTTGTAGCCTAAGCCAGTAAGGGCAGAAGGTTGGGCTGAGGGTACAGCTCAGTTGGTAGAGGGCTTGCTTTTTGTGCAGGAGGCCTTGGATCCTCTCTCCAGCACAACAATAAACAGATAAGCCAATATATAAAAAAATATACACAAGTAAATAAAATGAGAGAGAGAGAGAGAGAGAGAGAGAGAGAGAGAGAGAGAGAGAGAGAGAGAGAGAGAGAGAGAGAAAGAGAAAGGGACATCAAAATATAGACAGCAGAGTCCCATGGATGGCAGAGGCTGGACTGGGCCAAGGTCTCAGTTGGTCCCTAGCAGGACAGTGGTCACTTTGCTCTCTGAGATTGGAGGTCTGGAAGGTTGTGAAGCCTAGGATGACAGGGAGGAGGTTGAGAGGGCTCCCCTGCTGCTGGCTTGAGTTTTTGTTTGAAAGGAAATTGGAAGTGTGGCATCAGATGTGAAGAGTGGAAAGCTTTAAATCAAGAGTATAACCAGAAGGGCTGGTGGACAGTAAATGCGCTGAGGGGAGTTATTCTTGTCCGTCCGCCAATGCTCATCTCCATCCATCACCTGCTCTGCTTCCAGCTCCCGGGCTGGACCACTTTCTGCCATCTCCATGCCTGTGAACTTGGTCCATTTCACCACATCGTCTTTCTTAAATGTCAATCATACTTGCAAAATCTTTTGCTTTTTCTCTTGCCCCTTCCAGCCCTTTCCCCTCACAGAAGCCAAAGTGATTTAAAAAAAGAAGGGAAAAAAGCTAAACCAGATCATGTCTCTCCCCTCCAAAACTATCCAGTACTTCTCACTGTGGGGAGATTCACATGTATGACGTGTCCGGCTTTTCCTTGTAAGAGCCAGCCTGATCCGGTTCTGCAGAGCTCTTCTATGTCCTCGTGTTAGACACTTTCCTTTGGTTCTCAAGGGTCGTAGCCCCCTCCCTGTATGATGCTGTGTTTGTTTGTTTGGTTTTTGTCTTTTCATATAGTTATCAGCAGCTGTCTTAGTCAGTTTTCCACGACTCTAATGAATATCTGAGGTAAGTCAGCTTAAGGACAGGCAAGGTCTGTTTTGGCTCCCAGCCTTGCAAGTTTGATCATGACAGATGCTATGATGAAATGGGCCTGTTGCTTTGGGCTATCATCATGGCAGCAGCATCCACTCACCTCAGAGAGGCCAAGAAGTGAAAGGGAGGAAGGGGCTGGATTCCCATGGCTCCCTTCCGCAGCACACCTCCACAACTCTAAGATCTTTCCTTAGGTCCTGCCCCTTAAAGTTTCCCTCTTCACATAGTGCCAAGTAGGGAGCCAAGCCTCTAACACAGGGGCTTATGAGGGGACATTCTAGAGCACACTGCAGAAGTAACTAAAAAAACTTACACTGTGTGCACATTTTCTATTTCCTAAACCTAGAATAAGAATGCTGGAAGAGGCCGGGCAGTGGTGGCGCACGCCTTTAATCCCAGCACTTGGGAGGCAGAGAAAGGTGGATCTCTGTGAGTTCAAGGTCAGCCTGGGCTACAGAGTGAGTTCCAGGAAAGGCACAAAGCTACACAGAGAAACACTGTCTCTCGAAAAAAACAAAAAAACTAAACAAACAAACAAAAAGAATGCTGGAAGAAAAGGACCTTGTTCGAAGTGGGCACGGCATGGATTAAATATTGGTTGAATGACCAAACCAAAGCAAACTAAATCCAACACAACTGGCAATGTTGAAAGCCTAAGTGATCTTAGAAAATAAAGCTGCAATGGATCCAGAACACATGGTTGTATGATTTTCTTCACCTGGGACCAGTGACAACAAGACAATTGCCTCATACATTCATTGTAGACACAGTATTAAACAAGTATTTCTACATGCCAGTCAGGTAGTAGAGGCATCTTTGTGAAAAACGGATGATTCCCTGAGAAACCCGTCCGTGTGTTGACATTCTTAACTCAATTTCTGGAAATCCCCCCTTTTGTAGTCCTCTTGGGTGTGGAAACTGCCGATTCTTTCCAACCCCAGAGCAGAGTGCCACTGTTCAGGTGAAGTCAGGCTACTGAGCCGGGTCTGGTTTCCTTGGTGATCCAGAAGGCTCAGTTCTATCTGAAATTGCTAAGGAGCAGAAAAACCTGATAGCTGAGCTGTGTTTTCCTTAGGGAGGGACTGCTTTCCAAGCTCCATGGAGGCTGAGGATGTGTCTCTTTGATTGGTAAGGGCTGCTTCTCACAGCGGGGAGCTGAGTGACATCTCCTAAATGCTCTAAGAATCCCACAGGAGTCCAGCAAGTCCGTCCCTTGCCAGCCCCAGGTAATTGCATCATGACCCTTCAGGCCCCCCATCAGTTTTGTTTTCGCATGCAAACACTGTAGCCACGGAGACCAGAAGTTTGCTGGTAGGGTGTGCTCATCACCTTTCTTCCGGCACCCAGGACAACACAAGGGCATGCTGTTTTGTAAATGGTAGGGCAAGTCAGTTAACCCCTTGAGGCCTTTTTGCTTCTCAGTTAGCAAAATATGAACTCTAATATCACTTATTGTCAAGGGTTGTGGGCCAAACACTGCATTAAATATTTGTTGGATGCATGGATGTGAGTGTGTGTGTGTGTGTGTGTGTGTGTGTGTGTGTGTGTGTGTGTGGTGTATGTGTGCACAGACACATGTGTGGGGGCCAGTGGAAGATGTTGGGTGTCCTGCTGTACCACTCTTTACCTTACTCCTTTGAGACAGGGTCTCTCAATCTGGAGCTAGGCTGGTGGCTAGCAGACCCCAGTGATCCCTTCTCTGCCCTGAAGAGCACTGGGGTTATAGATGCACATGGCCATGCTTAACTTATAGTGTGGTTGCAGGAGCTTTGAACTCAGGTCCTTATGTTAATGCCACAAATGCTCTTGTCCACTGAGCCCCAGCCCCAGCTCCTGCACTAAATATGTTCTCAAGTCCTCATGTTTATTCAGCAACATTTCACGGCCTGAGCCATCTCCCAGCCCCTACATTTGGGTTTTTAAAAGGCCCCTGACATTGTAGCATGGAGGATAGCATGAGGCAAAACACGAAAACTGGGACCCACCACTGGGATAAAATGCTCATTTCACAGTATTACGAAGTTGGTACTAACCATTTTACAGGCTAGAAAGATGAGTGGCTTTTTGTAGTCAGTTAGTGAGTGACAGGTTGGGGGTGGGCTTACACCGATGCTGCCTTGAAATTCTGTTACCCCCCCCAAAGACAAGGCTTGCTTGCCGCAATTACCTGATATTCAGAGTCCACCTTATGTTGCATGTCCCGCAGATACTGAACATCATTGACGAACTTCTGCCTGTCCCTTGCTTCATGCAACATGGTTCTTAGTTTCCGATCTACAGAAGAGAGAAATAAGCGTACTGTGACAAATGCTTTTGTGAGTCACCATATTTGGATTTCTTTGAGTATGAGTGCATGTATTCTTTTATTAATCTATTGCCCCACTGTTTGGAAGGTACAGACGTTCCATTTTTGTATTTGTGTCCAAGTCCTGATAGCCTTTTCTGTCCCACCCATAAATAACACTGTCACATTCATCGGAGGACTTCAGTGATCCCTGGTTACTCTCAGGGAGTTGGCTTGACAGAGACACCTGACTGGGTAGCAGCTCTACCACATGGCAGAGATGGAAACAAGAACCCTGACAGATCTGTAGTGACCAAACTTTGAAGTCCTGGGTTGCTTAAATTCTCCTATGTGACCGTTGTCCCTAATCCAACCCAGACACTGCCAGCTGCTTGCTACAGCAGCCAGTCAGGCAGACAAGGTCCCGCCTTTGTGTTGCCGACAGTCTAGGGTGGAAAACCAACACTAGACAATTCGACTCTGCCAGTACAGAGCCGGGTGTGGCCTCTTTGAAAGAATGGTGTTGCAGAAGAGCAGAGTCTGACTGGAAGGAGTCAGCCCACAATACTGGGTTTGATAAATCACGAGTCAGGCAAGAGTTGGGAGAGGCCAGCAGGTGCCTCAGGGCTCGAAGGAGAGTGAGGAACGGAGTGAGGGCAGGGCATCTGGGGCAGATGGTGGGGACCAGCACCAGAATGATGGGGGGCTGGCAGGGATCAGCTCATATGGGACCCTGCAGGTGATAATGAGAAGTCACATGGACCTACTGATAGGTTCTAACCCAGGGAATAAATGGTGCATGGTGCATGTGCGTGCGTGCGTGTGTGCATGTGTGCGTGCAAGCCAGAGTCTGACATCAGTTGTCATTTCTCCTCAGTCACTCTATTTTATTTTGTCCAGACAGGATCTCTTACTGAGCCTAGAGCTCACTGATTTTACAAGAATAACTAACCAGAAAGTCTCAGGGATCCTCCCATCTCTGCTTGCCCAGGTTTTTAGACAGGTGATGGGGATGGCGAGGAGAGGGTTGGTCCTGAATTCAAGTCCTAATGCTTCCTCCAGCAACGTTTCACTGACTGAGCCGTCTCCCAACCCTGCACATTTGTGTTTTATTTAAAAGGCTCCTGAAGTTGTAGTATGAAGGATAGGGTGGGGTAAAACATCGAGTTGTGACCACTGCTGGGACATGAGATGAGGTAGTAACAAGGCTGAGGTAGCAAATGTGTGAGGAGGAAGAAGAGGACAGTGGGAGTGGGGGAGGGTCAGAGCTCCCATGGACCAACCTGTGGAGTGCCAGGTGCCACTCTGAGCATCCGCCTATATTAACTCATTGCATCTTCACAGCAAAATGCTGCAAGGCAGACCCCAGAGTTTCTGATCCAGAAAAAGAGCCAAGCTGCAGCCTCAAGAGTGTTTACTGAAAAAGGAGGCATTCTGACCATCCGGAGACACACAGCTAAGACATGACTGAGGGTTTTCTCAGTTATCTCCTCCCTTAGTTAAGGTTTCTATTGGTCTGACAAGACACCGTGGCCATAAAGCAAGTTGGGGAGGAAAGGGTTTATTCAGTTCACACTTCCACATTGCTGTTCCTCACCAAAGGAAGTCAGGACAGGAACGCAAGCAAGGCAGGATCCTGGAAGCAGGAGCTCTTGCAGAGGCCACGGAGGGGTGCTGCTTACTGGCTTGCTCCTCATGGCTTGCTCAGCCTGCTTTCTTATAGAGCCCAGGACCACCAGCCCAGGGATGGCACCACTCACCATGGGCTGGGCCCTCCCCCATTGATCACTAATTGAGAAAATGCCCTCCAGCTGGATCTCTGCTTGTGTTGACACACAAACCAGCCAGTACAACTGACCCCTTATCAACTTGACACACAAACACATCACTATTAAGCTACAACCCTTCCTTTTTTATTCATCCCCAAGATCTTACATTAGAAACATAGAGAACTTTAAAAGTCTCACAGTCTTTTTACAAAATTCAAATACATTAAATTTCAGTCCCTTTAAAATAACCAATCTCGTTAGAATCCAAAGTCTTTCCAAATTCAAAGTCTCTCGATTGTGGGCTCCAATAAAATACTTTTACTTCAGCTGGGCGGTGGTGGCACATGCCTTTAATCCCAGCTCTAGGGAGGCAGAGGCAGGCGGATCTCTATGAGTTCGAGGCCAGCCTGGGCTACAGAGTGAGTTCCAGGAAAGTCGCAAAGCTACACAGAGAAACCTTGTCTCGAAAAAACAAACAAACAAAAAAACCCTTTTACTTCAGAGGGAAAAAAATCAGGGCACAGTCACAAACAATTCAAAGCAAACCAAAATCCCAAACGTCCAATGTCTGGGTTCTACTCATGATCTAGACTTGGGCTTGGGTCACTTCTCCAGCTCCGCCCTCTGCAGCACACACAGCTGTCTTCTGGGCTCCAGCCGGCTCCACTCCACTGCTGCTGCTGCTCCTGGTGGTCATCCCATGGCACTGGCATCTCCGAAATGCTGGGGTCTTCTGCAGCAACCGGGCTGCGCTTTCACCAATAGCCTCTCCTAGACTCTCTTCACGGTGCCCAGCCTCAGCTTCTTTGCATGACCCCTTCGGTCCTGGGCCTTCAACTGAGGCTGCACCTTCACCAATGGCCTCTCCTGGCCTCTTCAGTGCCAAGCCTCAGCTGCTCTCCCTTCATACCTTCAAAACCAGTACCACCTGGGTGACTCTTACACATTACCAAGTCCAGCTGCCAGCACAAAGTACAACCTTGACCACCTCTGGAATACAGCTTCTCTGTGCTCTCAGGAAACACTTTCCAGAAGTTTTCCCAGTCATGCTAGTCTCTCTCTCTCTCTCTCTCTCTCTCTCTCTCTCTCTCTCTCTCTCTCTCTCTCTCTCTCTCTCTCTGTTTTAGGCTGGCTTCGAACTTAGAGATCCACTACCTCCCAAGTGCTGGGATTAAAGGCATGTGCCACCATAACCAGGCTGCTGGTCTCTTCTTAATCACCACTGATTTCTTAGCTCTAGCCAACCAGCATCAAGTATCCCAGTAAAGCAAAGTTTCACTTTGGTAGTTCTGGTATCTTGTTTATCACAGCTGATTCTTCAGTCCCAGCTAACCAGAACCACAGAATCTTAGTAACAAATGGCCCCCCACAGAGTCTTTATCTTCCCTCTGAAACTTCACAAGCCAGGCCTCCATCCTCTGCACTGCTCTCAACATTCTTATCTTCCAAGCTCCCACAGAACATCCCATAGAGCTCTTAACACTCAATGGCTCTTACAGCTGGGTCTCATGGAGGCATTTCCTCAACTGAGGCGCTTTCCTGTCTGCTTGTATCAAGTTGACACACAAAACCAGCCATTACACCTCCCATCTAACCCTTTGCCTGCCTGGAATCAGGAAGGGCAGCTTTGTGAGAAAAGAATGCGAAGTTTGCAGTGTCTACAGTACTGCAAATGGAGAGGTCAAGCCGGGAGCTAGAGATGCAAGGCTCTGAGCTGACTGGACAGGAAAAGATTTGGCCACTGCTGGCATACTGGTAACAACTGAAGCTGAAGCAGAATGGGTACTGAACAGAGAAAATGGACGTGGGACAAAATCATCAACAAATAAAATGTAAGGAAGAGGCAGTTGAAGAGGAGCTCAGGAAAGGACCCCAGAGGCAGGAGGAACGCCCAGTGGGTGCTGTTCCACAGCTGCTGAAGAGACGTTTTCCAAGAGGAGGCTGTTAATACCCCTAGCAAGGGCAGTTGCTGCATCAACAAGGCTGAAGTTCCTTTTAACTAGTTGTAAACAGGTGGTAAAGACGTGTCTTGACTTCAAGAAATTAGGCTTTGGTTGGTGTGGTCTAATTTATGACCACAATATTATAGCTCACAAAGTTATCAAATGGCACTGTTCGTACTGAGACTGCCAGACTTCATCAGCAGATCATCGAAGCCCCTACAGTTGGTTCCAGCTCCTCGGTCACCGAAGCTCTTTCATAGATTGCCGCATACATTCTTAATGACCACAGTGTGCTCTCAACTCCTCAAAGAGCAGGGGGACAGTCGCCAACCCAACCCTCAGGTGTGTGCGCTCCGTGGCTTTCCTTCTCTCCTCCGCCTATCAGTTTGTGTAGATATCGACAGTCAGCTTGTCCCTGACTCAAGGTGACCCAGCGTCTGGTCTAGGAATTATTAAATCTTGCAAGGTTTATCATCTACCATTGAGCAGCATGGAGAGCTTCCTGGTCCCTGGGGGGACTGTTTTCTCTCAAGATAGACAGAGGGTCTTTGGAGAGTTAGGGTCTGAAGCTACAATATGTAGTTCTATAGTTTGTAAAACACCTAAATAGGATCATGCTTCTCCCCTCTTAAAACTACCCAATAATTCTCCCTGTGATAAGAATCGAGTTCCACATCAACCTGTGTCCTGTAAGACCAACTTGATCCAGATCTATGGAGCCCTTCCCCCACCTCACACACCACACCTTGTTCTCTTGAATGCTTCGGGACAGTTTGGACTTGCTATCATTTGGCCCAGGATGGTTGGGTGAGCACTTTCCCATCATGCACTTCCGCAGGGATATGGCTTTACCCTCATTACCTGTTTTTTCTTCCTGTATTTCTCAGCAACTGTGTTAGTTTTCTATGACTATAACGAATACCTGAGGCAAGTCAGCATAAAGATTGTGTGTGTGTGTGTGATCATTTCAGACATTTATGGACTATATTTAAAAATACCACTTGTAACTTTTCATATAAATTTGTACCTGCATAGAATGACGTCTGTTCCCCCTTTTTCAGAAAACGGTGGGGTTAAAAACAGAAAGATGGACCCCTGCTGCTCCTGTTGGGAAGAGAAGCCTGGCTGAATATTAATCGGGCAGAGAACACCAGGATTCATAACCAGACTATGTTAATGGCCGCAAAAGGGCACAGCCCATAGTCCAGTGGGATGAAACATTGTAGGTGCAAAGTTAATACAGAAAGCCAGTGAATCTAGCATGGCTTTGGGGTGATATAATTAAGGAAGGTTCTTAGTCAGGAGGCCTGAAATAACCTGGCCTGAAGAGGTAGGAACCAACACCACTGTAAGACTTGCTAGATACCTCTGACTTCATAATCGTCTACACAACAAAGGACTGTGCCCACAAGAGACTCTCCCCACCCACCAGAAGCTCTCCATTACATTTCACTGTAAAATAAATATTTGAAGCACTGAAGTGCCACCTGGACTTTCTTATTTAAATATATCAAAACCTTATGAGATGAAACAATCTGCTTTCTTGGTGTCTGTCCTATTAGAGACAGAGCAAGGAGACAGTCAATTATCTCGGGTTAGAGAAATATTCTCCACATCAACTTGAATTTTAGACTGTGCTGCAAGTTTGAGGAGCTGACCAGAATGAACAAGAAATAGAAATAACTGTACGGGAAATAAATCCACAAGAGCTAATGCTTGATTCTCAGAGTTCCATTTCGTGAGCCTACTCGACCAGATGGCCATTTGAAGCCAAGGCTGTTCCCCCCCCCCCCCCCCCCCCCCCCCGCCCCCAGCAGATATAGGCAGTTGACAGAGTGCTTCGTGGGGGTGGATAATAAAACGTGGGCAAGGCATGATTCTAAAATAGCAACCTGTACTGTCTTCTGTTCTCACCTTTGAACCGCTTCCCGGTCTGAAATTCACACATGGTCATGCATGCTTCTGTTGTAAGCCTTGGGTGAGAAAGCACTGGCCCCAAGTTTGTGTTTTAGAAATCAGTGTAGGAAGTCATGTTAAGCAGAGGGAAAGGGCCAGGGATGAGGGGATGTGTGAGAGGAAGAGAGGAAGTGAGGGGTTCTGCCAGGCCTCAGAATTCTATACATCTGTGAAATTTCAATGAGGAATATTCTAAGAACTCTACGACATGAATTCCTCTTGAGGTAAATTTCCAGGGAATTCAGAGTGAGGTACCCTAAGAAGAACAGGACTTGATGGCAGAATACATTTCTTCCCATTCTCTAAAAAGATCACACATGTGTATATATAAATGCATATTACATTCATGTGTACATGCTGTCTCCTTTTCTGTGTCTATAATTGTACCCCCCCCCAAAAAAAAAACCCTGATCTGAAAGGAGTGCCTTAAGCTATCTTACCATTTTCTCGCTCTGCTCTCTCTGTGAAATATCACTAAAGCGATACTGTCTTGGTTTTGGCAAATAAGCAAAATGTAAATTTAACCTCTTTAGAATGACGCTTCATTTGAAACAAAATTTTAAGTAGCTGTGTTACTGCCTGGCAATCAGGTTTATAAATTCCTCCTTTCCCAAGATTGGGTGCTTGGAAGAAGGATTTGAGAAAACTTTAATTCAACCCTTTCCACAATGAATTAATTTGTAATGACAAGGATTACAGGATTTGTTTCCATTTTAGCTTGTGGGGGAAAAAAACTTATAGAGATTTTTAAAAATCTCACTTTATAAACTTGTGTTGAGTATAAGTTTAGTGACTAGGCCCATTTTATACTTCAGAGGCTGAGGACTTGGGTGGGGGGACTGACTCTTCCAATTTAATTTGGGAAATGCAGGTCGAGGGCCGGAGAGAGCTAACTAACAAATACTGACCATTAAGCCCAGAGGAGAGACTGTAACTGGAAAAGTGAGAAGGGGCACCCAAATATGACAAGCCATTGGGTTCTAGCATTAATAATACCATCTTTTCACACTCAAAAGCCGTTTCCTGGACTTGGAGACCAATGGCATAAACAGAGAAGGTATACAGCTGTGTGAGGGGCAGCCAATGTGCAAAACATGACCAGACCCTTCAATCTCTCCCTTTGAGGCAGAAACTAACTGGAGCTGGCTGGGGTCAGCCAGAGGAAGAGAAGGGCGGCCACCAAGCTCCAGGCCTGATTCCCCTCTAGAATCTTTTAAGTTTAAAAGGGAAAGTCGATCCTCAGTTCTGGGAAGGCTGGGGCGTCTTCCGTTACCTTGGGGATCAGCACTTTTTTGCCCCCTTGTCAGAGGCTAAAGGGGCCGCGGGGTGGAGCGGGTGGGCAGGCCCACAGCAGAGGAGCCGCCCATCAATCGTGCGTGGGGCCGGTCCTGGGCTCCTCTTCCTCCCCCACGCCACACGTCTTCCCTCCCTCTTGCGGCCCCTCTTCCTTCTCCTCCCGGAGGCAGCTGCCCGCCGTTGCCGCCGGCCTTTCTCGGGGCGGAGACGGTGGGGGCGGCTACCTGGCGTCTTCCCGTTCCCTTGGCAACCGGGCCTCCTTCCTCGCGCGGAGCCTGGGCCGCTAGCCGCGAGCGTGGATCGTGGGGGTGGGGCAGGACTGCTGCCCCCGGGGGTCCTGAGTCCACACGTGGGCGGCCCCGCTGGTTGCCGTGGGAACGAGAAGGGATGCAGTTGGGAAAGGAAAGCCGTGATGGCGGCTGTCTTGGAAGCGGCACGCTGATTTTGTCCGTGTTCACGCCCAGAGGCAGTGCTGTTTCTTATAAGGAGATTAGAGAATGGGAGAGGAAAAAAATTCAGTTGAATAAAATATTAAAGGCAGTACATGGAAAGAAGAAAAGATACTGCCCTTCTTGAGATGGTTGCTGTACAGGGATCTTCAAGTAAAATGTACCAATCCTACGGTTAAGGGAGGTACCGATCCGCTTCAGAAGGGAGACCTGAAGCCCACCTCTTAGCAGTGGTCATTACCGGCTTCTCCACGAAGGAGGTGCTTGGGAGGGTTAGGCCAGTGCTCACCAGGTCCTTGGCTCACTTCATTGTCCCTGGGCTGGGTTTATTTCTCTGTGAGATTCTGATAGACAACCTTGGCTCTTCCGGGTTTTTTGTTTGTTTGTTTGTTTTGTTTTTGTTGTTTTTTTGGTATATTTAGTACTCAGTAACTTGCTGACTGATGTCACTTAAAGGCGTTTTAGCCTGGGTGGAGAAGAGCAAAAAAGATAGACAATAGAAATTCTTGGAACTTTCACCAGTGTCCCAGAGTCTCCATATGTCTGGGGGGGGGGGGGTCCAGGTGTCTCCTATGTAGCCCCCACATTCAGGTGGCTATTCCTTGGCAGTATGGCACCCTAGCTTTCTATTATCGCCACCCTCCATGGTCTCTGAGCTGGATTAAGGTATGTACCTTGCAACCACACTCTGAGCCCGTCAGCCACTCCCTCGCCCAACCTCTTCCCCCGCACATAAGCAGCATAGGTCCAAATGTCTTCAGTCACCAACAACATGCTCACAGAGACTCCTCACAGTCTGAGAAGTGAGCCCCAGACTCTCGACTGTGACTGTCCCTATTGTTCCCCAGGACTTGCTTTCTTGGTTTTGTTGTTGTTTGTTTGTTTGTTTGTTTGCCCTTGAGTCATCCCTCGCCAGTGGGGCTCTATTACACGCTGAATCCCACTCATCTTCACCAATTTCTGAGATATCTTGAGCAGCACGGCATCTAGACAAAATATGCTTTGGGGGAATCTTTGTTTGGGGCTCTTTCTCATCTGACCTTCAGTACTCTGCCTTTTCCACCCATATTCTATTTTTTTTTAAATATTTTTACTGCATTGTATTTTTATTGGGTTTGCCATACAAAATACGTGCACGTGGAGGTCAGAGGACAGTTTGCGGGAGTCTGTTCTCTCCTACCCTGTGGGTCCCGGTGACCAAACTCAGGTTGTCAGGTGTGGTGGCAGGTACTTTACCTGCTGAGCCATCTGGCAATACCACATTCTATTCTTCTTCTCAGCTGCCTATCAAATATTCTCTACTAAACCATTAACTCTAAGGATGTAGCATGGAACTACTCTGTGGTCTTGGCCTTTCAAAGGGATATATATGATTAAGGATGCCAAGTTTGAGACACTTTCTAGAGACGTAGCTCAGTGCTTGCCTGGCATGTACTAGGTTCTGGGTTTTATCCCTAGCACCACATAAAGTGGGTGTGATGGCACATGCCCGAAATGCCAGTACTTAGAGGAAATGGAGGCCTGAGACTAGTGAAACCTTCTCACCGTGTGTGTGTGTGGGGGGGGGGGTGGGGGGGGGTGGGGGGGGGTGGGGCAGGGTGGGGGGTTGAATCTGTAGCAATAAAATGATAGTTAGGGAGCTTGAGGACTTACCTCAAAGATGGTAAGGTAATTAGTGATAACTATTATTACTGATTAACAGGGAAAGATACCAAGACTGAGTGAGATCGTTGAAGAGAAACGACACAGCCAAGGACACCTGACAAGGGACAGACCAGAGCTCAGAACAAGACGCCCATCCCCAACAACTTAATGTTGCCCACCAGCAAGAAAAAACATATTGGCACATATTAGATGTGGATCTTTGATTTTCTGTTTTAAGAGTTATAGAAAAAAAGTACTTTGTGCTTCAAAAGACTGTTGTAGGGTTTAAATGAGAGAAGACAAGTTATCAATTGGTAGTTTTGTTTTCCAGGGCATAGTTTACTACTATAACACAAAGTAGCATAGATTATTAGTACTTTAAAATGTTACAATAACAAGGTTTAGAGAAGTCACTTATCTCAGTCTGAAACTTTTCTATATTTCGAGTACTCTATGTTGTTATTTTGTGCTTTTCCGGGGTGTGTTGAGATCACCGCAAAGCTCAGGCTAACTCTAAATTCATGATCATTCCACCTCGGCCTCTCCAAAGCTGGGGTTACAGGCGCCCACGTGCCTGGTCCCTTCTGTTGTGGTTTTTGAAAGTTCAGTTCCATGATCAGAAAGCACTATGCCCTTGAAAGAAAGTGACAGCGCCCAAGGTCAGCTCATAAAAAAGCTACAAAGCAATTCTGACATCAGCGTTTGGTGAGTAAACTTAACCTTGACATGTCCATCACAAAGCGGGTCATTCCCAGCACTGAACAGCAAAGTGGTAGCTACCAAAGGAAACATGAAAGCGGGGAAGAAAAAACAACTTCCGCTGAAGGAAGCACCCTATTCTCCATTATTTTTTTACATGACGTCCCTGGTAAATGATGAGTAAAGAAGAAAAAGGCTTAAATAGGCCTGGGTTGAGATGACTTGTGTTGGAAAATGAGCCCCAAGAAATTCTTTAAGAGTTCTGCTAAGGGCAACTTCAAGTGTAATGTTTCAGGTCCTTTGATGATTTAAAAACAAGATAAAAGTATTTAATTCAGAGCAAAATGTAAACTATTGGGAGGGGTGTGGTTCTTCTAAGACTCAGGGTTCCCATGAACACCTGGTCCAGGTACTCAATGGTGTTGAAATAGCCAACCCTCACACAGACACACACAGACACACACACACACACACACACACACACACACACACAGACACACACACACACACACACACACACACACACACACACACACAGACTACTGACTAATTAGGTCCTTGTCAGCATACAATCAGGAGCTCCTACAGGCCACAGAGCTTGCGCCAAGTGGCCTCCCCCGCAGCAGCTTAGACAGGGTCATTCTGCCTTGAGCCTCCCATGACTAATGAGTTCCTGTTCTCATCAGCTGAGGTCACTGTGCTGGAGCTGCCTTCATTCAAGCCTGGCAGGAACTATGCCTGTTTGTTAAAAAACAAAAAAAGCCCTCTAGCCTGGGTGTGGCAGTGCACCACCCTTGTGATCCCCACACTCTGGAGGTGGAAGCAGGAAGCTTGTGAGACTCCTGGCCAGCCTGGGCTACATAATGAGACCCTGTCTCAAAAAATAAGCAGACAGAGGCCCGGAGAGATGGCTCAATGGTTAAGAGCACTTGCCGCTCTTCCAGAGGACTCCATATCACTTCCCAATACTCTCATCAGGCAGCTCACAACTCCCTCTAACTCCAGTTCTGGGGATCTGACACCATCTGCCTGTAAGGGCACCCATAAACATAACATAAACATAAACACAGATACAGATAAATAAAAATAATTAATTACAAACCTAAGCAAAGAAAAATGTCTTTAGGGAGATGCTTTCCCAAGAAGGGGCTGTGGGCATGTTAGACTTTTAGAATTCCTTGAGAATTCATAGAATTAATTAAAAAAATTTTTTTTTACATTTTTTTATTTTGTGTGTGGTGGGGAGCAGGTGCCATGGTGCGTGTATGAGGGTTGGAGGACAACTTGGGTCCCAGGGATCCAACTTTGGTCATCAAGTTTGGTGGCTTTGTCAGCTGAACATCTTACCAGTCCCCAAATAGTTTTTAGAACTAGATAATGACTAAGTATGTTGTAGGCTGTTGTGATATTCTGCATTTGCCCTGTAGCCATGTTTCATTAGACAGGGTGCCTTTGTGGCAATCTGTTAACGTCGCCCATTGAGAGTAGACATATTAATGTCATTCAGAGGGTAGAGGAGGCTGGATGGAGAGACGGCTCAGGTGGTAAACTGCCTTCTGTGCAAATGTGAGGCCTGAGTTCGGAGCCCTCGTGTGCAAAGCTAGGTGTGGTCACATGCATCTGTAACCTAGCATGATTGGAAGGTGGGAGGCTGGGGGTACGGTGTGGGGACAAGTAGATCCCCAGAACTCACTGGCCGGCCAGTCTAGCCAATCTCTGAACTCCTGGTTCAGTGAAACATCCTGTCTCGAAATATAAGGTGATAGAGTGACCAAGGAAGATGCAGGGATCCACCTCAGACCGTGACATTTGTGAGCATGTATACCGGCACTCACACATGCATGCACACACACATACATACACCACACACATACACAAACATATGAGTAGAGTGCTTAGTAGGTCATTGAAGACTCAGGATTTGCTTCTGGGTTTTATAGGATGAGGAAACTTTTGTGCGTGGGGTCCCTGCTAACTCCAAGAGCGGCAGAGTAATGGTCTGAGGGAGACAAGAAGGAAGTCAGGGTCAACACGACCTCGTAGCCGGTGTTGGTTCCAACTTCTGGAGTCTGACATGGGGAAGTTTACTTCCTAGGCACTTAAGTACACTACAGGTTTGGGGAAAAGGTTTCCTGGTGACAATGATCTCAATCCCAGGTGCACAACAAAGCTTCAGGTGTGACTACATCAAAACACTTTTGCAGAGTATATGTGACCTCTTCCATAAAGATTGGTTCTATATGGCTTAAGTGCCTAGGAGAAGATCAGATGTGGTCTCAGAGGTCACCAAGCTACAAAGTGTATGTGACATCTCCCCTAAAGATGGGTGGATTCTATTGACTGAGAAGCAATGCTCAAAATAAAAGAGGAAGATCCTAGAATAAACGTAATAGTCTGGAGGATTCAGGTGTGGCCTGGCCCTACAGAGAGCACAGGTCACCAAGTGTGGTAGTTTGAATGTAATTGGCCTCCATAAGCTCATAGGGAGTGGCACTCTTAGGAGGTGTGGCTTTATTTCAGTAGGTATGGCCTTGCTGGAGGAAGTGTGTCACTGTGGGGGTGGGTTTTGAGGTTTCATATATGCTCAAGCCAGTGTCCCAGACCACTTCCTGTTGTTGTGGGTCAAGATGTAGAATTCCCAGCTACCTCTCCAGCACCACGTCTGCCTGCACACTATGTCTCCCACCATGAAGATAATGGACTAGACCACTGAAACTGTAAGCCAGCCCCAGTTAAATGTTTTCCTTTATAAGACTTGCCATGGTCATGGTGTCTCTTCACAGTAACAGAAACCCCAACTAAGACATCAGACTATTAACCACATCTTCTCCCAGCCTCTGGGTAGAAAAACAGGTATCCACCCCTTCTGTTGAAGAGACAAGCCTTCATGTTTAACATTCCTGCTTTCCTTAGTGCTTATCTGTGGGCATAAAGACCTCATGTGTGCTCTCTACAGATGTGTGTGTATGCATGTGCACACACATACACATGTGTGAATATATATACAATAGTGTGCATTATGTCAGAAAATAACTTGAGGTGTCATTCCTCAGGGGCCATCACCTTTTATTTGAGACCACGTCTCTTACCGGCCTAGAACTTTGCCAAGTAGGCAAGGCTGGCTGGTCAGCAAGCTCCGGGGCTTCGCCAGTCCTCTCCCATCTCAACCATCATTGGGATGACAAGCATGGACCACTGTGCTCTCCTTTTCAATATGGAGTCTGGAGATCGGAACTCAGATCTCCACAAGCATGAAGCTAGCCTTTATTGACAGAGCCGTCTGTCTCCCTACTCCCAGGGATCCATTTTTGTTACCTCAGAATCAATCATTTTAGGAATTGATTCTCAGTAATTTTACTCTCAACTTATTGCCCCCCCCCCCCCAGTATAAAGCTGGTAGGCTGACCCTTGTTAGGCATGCAAGGCACTCTCCTGTGGAAAGGCATCCCCCAGGAGACTGAATTAAAGATCAGAAGGCTTGGTGCATATTGAAAGAGGTTTAAGGGAATTGTGTGTTCTTAAGGGATTTACCCAGCAGCTCAAGGAGACCTTGAAGAATGACCTTCCTTCAGTCCAGGGACATCTCCATCAGTGACTGATCTGGGTGATCCCCCTCAGAGCTTCTGGAGACTTTACAACATCATACTTCAGTTAGGTTCCCTCTTGCTCAGCCTCATGGGGCCATTCCTCTTCCATTTATTCTATTAGCAGCATAGTATGGCTTCAAGAAGACTTAGGTTAAATTCCAGCAGTGGCATTTGCTATGTGATAACAAACAGCTTCTTATCTCTTTTCAGACCTCCAGATCCCCAAAGTTAGAAGGAGAATAATCAGAGCCTTCTCAACAGCACGCTGTGAGGATGAATGAAACAATGAAGGCAAAGTTTCTCAAAAGCAGTTACTGCTTAACACATGGAACCTACCACCATTGATTACATTTCACATGCGTTAGAATTCCTAGCCACTCCCCCAGCTACATGATCGCGTGTGCACTGTCCAGTAGCCAGGCAAGATGCTTAGTCATCCCAGGGCCTTCCATCCTGTGTAATCTGTGTGCTATGTGATCATGTAATTTGCTAGCAGCGTGATCACATAATCTATGTATATGTGTGACGTAGCTACATAAGCCCATGTGTGCTTGTGCGGGGCAACCTATAAAAGTGGGTTCCACCCGTTCCCCCTCCTCTCTTCCTGCACGATCATTCCATAGGCCTATGTACACCCTGTCTATTCCCTCCCCTTCTAAACTCTTATAGTGGGCTTCGTTGTGCCTTGTGGTTTCTCTCACATGGAAAACAGCGCCACTTAATAAATAATAGTGCGCTGCTTAATAAATAACAATGTGTACATTTCATTCTCCTTGAAGTCTGAGGACACCCAAAGGTACATCACCCACAACTTCAAAGAATGTCTTCAAAGGCTTATTATGTCTTTAAAACATTATCTTTGTGGCTAATTTTTAGGCTGCATTTCAGAGACCCCTTTTATTATGACCTCACCTCTACTGTTGAGGGTGGATCTTGTTTGAAGCTTGCAGCCAGCCATGAACGATATGAAATTTAGTAATGCCGGCTGGGTTGTCAAAGATCAGATGTTCCAGATCCAATTCTTCTGTGGAATAAAGTAGACTCTGTTAGAGATTGGCAGACTCCCTACAATTAATTTCTTGACAAAGCATGCCCTTTAGGAGGGCTCTTAGAGTTTTCCTCCTTTGGAATCGTAGCTGGCCTGTCATACTGTTTTCCAAAGAGGGGACAAATTCATTAGAGGGTTTAGATCCCCCAGCACCAAAATGCTTCTCAGAAGCTTTTATTGCTTTATCTATTTTGGAAGATTTGGAGTATTTAGAACCTTTCATTATGGCAATTAATGCCTCTGATGTAAGATTAGATGTGATTATGTGAACTCTAAGAGAATATATTGTTTTTTTTTTTTCATTTCTGAAAAATGGTTACCAAAGGAAAGAATTTGACTTCTGTCCAGAAGGAGTATCAGGTTTGTTTGGACTTTGGATAAACCTAGGTCGTACATGTTTAGCCAAGAGTGCAAGTTGTGGACTGATCCTCAATCCCTGACTGCATAAGGCTCAGCCTTCCCTTCAGAAGCTGAGAGAGCATCAAGATCCCACATGGGAAATATCGATGGAGATCAGCAGTAGAGAGCTTGCCTAGTGTGTGCAAGGTCCTGGGTTTAATCTCCAGAACTGTGGCGGGGGTGGGGGGGTTGGAGGGGTGGGGGGTGGGGAGAAAGAATATCACATGAGCATCAAATCTGTTTCTTTTCTTTTCTTTTTTTTGGTTTTTCGAGACAGGGTTTCTCTGTGTAGCTTTGAGCCTTTCCTGGAACTCACAGAGATCCACCTGGCTCTGCCTCCCGAGTGCTGGGATTAAAGGCGTGCGCCACCACCACCACTGCCAAATCTGTTTCTATACAAATAGTACTCAGGCTGAAACAAGCAAACAAAAGAGACCCTTCTCAAGAAGGCAGGAAACACAAGCGCCAAGTACGTCGTGGGTTTTACTGAACTATACTATGTCATTTTATTCAGGCCAAAGTGCAGAGCAAGCGAGGAAGACCAGAGCTGCAAAAAGCAGGCAGCGTAGAGGAATGGGGTGGGTAGCCTTCTTTCCAAGCATCTATCCTGAAAGGTTTGCTTCATGAAGCTTTGGCTCTGTGGCATGCCCTCCACTCTCCTAGGGATGGAGTGGGGACCAAACACACAGATGGACATTCATCCCTGACATAAAGCGTCTTTTACGCTTGCCCTCCTGTCTTTTTGTTATCATTATTATTTCATGATGTATGTGTGTGTGTGTATGTAATGCATAGTCGTGTGTGTGTGTGTGTGTGTGTGTGTGTGTGTGTGTGTGTGTGTAAGACACATGTGCCATGGCTCGTGTGTGGAGATCAAAGGACAACCTCGAGTATTGGGCCTCACTTTCCGTTTGTTTGTAACGGGCTCTTTGTTGTTTGCTTCTAGGACAGCAGGCTGGCTGGCCCAAGAGTTTCCCAGCATTCCCCCGTCTCCGTCTCCTGTCTCACCTTAGAAGTACTGGGACTGCAGATGTGCACTACTGTGTCTGGCTTTACCTGGGTTCTGGAGAGTCAGACTCAGGCCATCATGCTTGCCCAGCAAGTGTTTTACCCACTGAGACCCCTCTCCCCCCCAGCCCAGATGTCTTTCTTTAGTGGCTCTCTTTCTGTTTCTGTAACGTGACAGACGACACCAGATGGGTCACTCCTACGTCTTTCTTCAATGCACTGCCTCTGCTCCACCTGAGCACAGCTGTTCTCTTCCCCTTACCTGGCTTTAGGGTGTTTACAGGTTCCACAAATGTCTTCCAGGTACAGGTGTGAACTAGACCTGGGGTAGCCAGGAGCGGGAGGAGATGTAACAAAGACGGATTATTGGAGGCGGCTGCCGCCAGTACTCAAAGCTGTGAATACCAAATGTGTTTGTTTAATCGGCAAATGATTATTGAATGGCTATAAGTGTCAAAGACGATTTATGCCTAGACAAATAAATACCAATAAATACCAACAGGTGGTAAATAGTGTTCATTAATAGGGTGCAGTGACAGGGAATACTGGGAGTTGTGGGAAGGAGAGTGAGAAGCTATTTGGATGGGGTGGTTGAAGATGGTCCGTCTGGGTGAGACCTAAAAGGATGAGGAGGACTCCAGGGGTGGAGATAACCAGACCAGGAAAGACTTGAGGCAAACGAAGTTTAGGGATCCAGGGAACAAAGAGAAGCCATATAGCTGGAGGACCATTGTGAGGAAAAGGTGATAAGGGCTCTGAGACATGAGGTTGGATTTTATTCTAAGCACCACGGAAAGTCACAGGAGAGGTTTGGGTTTTTTGTTTACTTTGCTTATTTTTTTCTTAAAAATGTTACATTTATTTATTTATTCATTGAGTGTGTGTGTATGTGTGTTCTTGTGCACACACACAGATATATGTGTGTCACAATAGCTAAGTGTGGAAGTCAGAGCACAACTTCAAGAGTTGGTTCTCTCTACCTTGTGGGACCGAGGGTTCGAACTCAGGTCATCAGACTTTGGGTAGGCATCAAACTCGTGGCCTTTCACATACTGGGAAAGCACTCCACCACTGAGTTGCATCCCCAGCTCTTCATACAAAGTTTATTTTTCTTCCCTTCCCCATGCCATGATTTTTAACTGGTTGTGTTCCTTAGCATCTGCATGCATGCATGTGTGTTCACCTGTGTGCATTTCATGTGGAGCATTTTGTGTAGGTCTACAAGGAAGTTCATCACCAGAAATGGTAGTTATGACCTTATGACTCCTAGTCCAGTATTTAAGGAAACTTCAAATAGTCATTCAAGCAAAGTGTGTGTCAATTGACATGAGAAAAGACAACCAAGAATAAATCATTAGATACTTCTGCTAGCTCCAGGATGTGGACACACAACCTTAAGTCGTGCATTGTGGCTACTATCCTGAGTTTTCCTTCCAGCCTCTCCTTACTGTGCATTTCCTTGTCGTGTGTGTGTGTGTGTGTGTGTGTGTGTGTGTGTGTGTGTGTGGTGTAGGCCAGATGCCATTGGGTTTCTTCCTCAGTTATTCGCTACCATATATATTATTTTACAAAATTTTTTTTTTTTGAGACAGTCTCATACAGTCTAGCCTCAAACTTGCTACATAGGTGAGGATGACATTGAACTTCTGATCCTTTTGCCATCGTCTCCCAAATTCTGCGATTATAGGCACTCACTGCCAGACCCAGTTAAGGTAAACTGGCGATTGAACCCAGGTGTCATCCCTTGTGTCCCCTCCCCACCCCCACACACACTAGGCAAGCACTTCACGATTGAGTCACATCTCTATCCCTCCACTTGGTTTTTTGAGACTAGTCTTTCACTGAACCTCAAGCTTAATGATTCAGCTAGATTAGCCAAGGAGCCTCAGGTACCTCCCTGTGTCAAGTATCTCCCTGCGTCACATCTCCATGGGATTACATGCTGGGATTACAGGCACACACTGCCTGCCTGGGTTGTTGTTGTTGTTTTCATGGCTGCAGAGGATCCGAACTCAGGTCCTCACGCTTGCGCAGCACTGTACTGACGGAGCCGTCATTCCAACCCCCCATGCCCCTTTCTAGGATACTTGCGGTGACCTCGGCCTTGCCTTTCCCCTTCCCCACCTCCTCATCCCTGTCTTCCCTTTCTTTTCTGCCTTTCTCTTTCTCATCACAAGTTATTGTTACTTGCCAAACCACAGATCTTAGATTTCTCTTTCCCAAACAAATTTCTTGGCTGGTTTTGCAGACTTTTGTAATTGCTTTTCTCCTTCCACCGAAAGAGGTCTCTTTCGCCTCTTCCCAACTACTCTCTTCTTGGTTCTACCCCCCCCTCACTCTAACCCCCCCAGGTCAGGGGCTTAATCCAAGTCTAGAAAAGCAGTCTTCCTCCAGCTTTGTGACAAAGATGCCCCAGGGTTAACTTCCGTGAATGAGGTAACCTCGGGTGAGTGACGTGTCCTCTGCACCGGGGAAGCAGTTCTTGAAAACCAGACAGAACTGAAGGTATCACTGTACAGCATCTCTCCTGTGGCTCACTGCACCCTCTGAGTCAGGATAATGAGAGAACATTCTTCAACCATGACTTAACCACGCTCCATCCTCAAACAAATTCCTGGATGTGTGTGGAGCACACTCTCCCAGCAAGCCTGAGCACAGGCATGTAGGGCGGGCTTGTCAACCAACTGCCCTCACAAAACCACCTTCCAGCTGCTTAGTCTGCATTAAAACGTGTTTTCAAAACAGCTGTCAATGTGTCCAGCGGCCATACTGTGGGGCCTCTCCTAGCTGTATTTTTATGCTTTCATACTGTGGTAGCTGGGTCTCTGCCATGAGGTTTTGTTTTTTGAGGGGGAGGGAGGGGTCCCTTGACTTCTTACTTTAATAAGAAGTTTTGGAAAAAAATCTTGTCAGACAGGGAAAAAACCAAGATAGTGCTCATTTCCAGAATAAAGCAATAGAGAGTCACACACAACTATAGTCTGTCCTTTATTTCATCTGTATCCGTGTGTGTGTGTGTGTGTGTGTGTGTGTGTGTGTGTGTGTGTGTGTGTGTAACACAAGTGGCTTATCTGTGTGGTTTTAAAGAAATTAATCTAATTGAAAAATGATTAAATTACAGAGAAAGGAAAAAGCATTTGGTTGGCATCATATGGGTCGGAGGCCACCGCTAATGCAATATGTCATCAATTGACTCATTGCTATTCTTTCATGGATGCGATTTCATTTCTCAAACAGCTCTTATCATGGCAGACTTGCAGTCAGTACACTGCACAGATGCCTCATAATCATTCCAATGTGCTTACTGAAAAATTTTAAAAGCAATTAAGCCATTTAAAATGTGTGTGTGTGTGTGTGTGTGTGTGTGTGTGTGTGTGTGTGTGTGTGTGCGCATGCGCACACGCCACATCCACACAGAGATTTTTTACAAATGCCCAGAAAAGGCTCTGAGTGGACGCTAGGACAAGTGGTGAATTGAGACACTGTGATGCCCTTCATGCATTTCAAAGAGCTTCATGCAGACTAATGTTAAGCTTTTTTCATACCCATTGAATATACTATTATCTCTCTTTAATACACTGAAGCAGCCAGAGGACAAAGAGTCTCCCTGTATTCCTTATCCAAGGCCACACAACTGTTGCT